GGAAAATCGAGGAGCCACATGATCGAGAGAGACATAAATAGACATTTTATAAACAAATTGAAACAAAATGCAATTTTAAACAGGTTTTGTCAAAAAAGTAATGAGTCAAGGCTTTACCAAATGGTATTGAACTCAAACTAACATCTTTTATGAATACATCTTGTTGCCAAATATATTTTGTGGCTAAAGCCTTGGCATATATCTAAATAAAAATGACAATATTTGAAATTAATGCTACTTTGGCAGATTGTGCAGTTGGAATAAATGCTAGAAGTTTGAAGACTATACTCTATTTTGATATAATCCGATTGTAGGCATTTTACAGTAATGCACGCCAATGGCAATAACTGTATACTTATGCTTTTTATAGTAAAATATGCCGATGATTAACTGTTATTTTCTTGTTTCCCTAAGTGCAATTCGTTTGTAAACAGTACAATTCTGTAGAGGGTTGGGGCTTTCAAGTATGTTGAACCCTGCCACATTCTGTATGTACATCTTCCAAGTCAGAAGTTTTTATTTCAGTGGTTGTCGTCGTTTGTTGCTGAATATCATACCTGTTTTTAGTTTATTCTTTGTAAATAAATCAAGCCGTTGTTTTATTTTTTTATTTTTAATTGTTTTCAACTGTCATTTCCCAGACTTTTGTAGCTTACTATGCGAAAAGGGTTTTGTTCATTGTTGAAGGCCGTACGGTGACCTATAGTTGCTTACTTCTACGTCATTTGGTGGAAAGTTGGCAATCATACAACATCTTCTTGTATTTATTATAAAATGAATCTTTAATATTCTTTTCACTACACCACATTTCGCTTGTAGAAATGTTTTCCATTATTTAATGCTAACATGTGTATAGTCCGATGTTCTGTACGACCATAGCTTATATTGACGATGCAATCTTGTGATCATTGTATGTTTTGACAGAAACACATACCAATAGGAAGATATTGCATATATGACAGAAGCCGATGTTACAGTATACTTCGTTGTATGCTTTTAATAGTTGCACAGTCGTTCTGATATCGAATCAGTTAAAATGCTTATACAGTAACACTAGAACTTATTATATATAGTTTTGCGGTAAATACATGTCTATGGCAATATTTTTACCTGCACATTTGTATTTGCTATGTTAATCATAACATATCTTTAGTACCAAAGGCAGGATTTTGTGAAAATATATTAAATTAGTATATACTAGAACTAACCGGCAACATCGCAGGTCCGCGACTGAATTAAAGTACCCACGCCTTATGCTCAACCTGGATTCTTAGTATTCGTATTGTCATTTGATACAGTCATGCTGGTTATAAGATCACAGTTTTCTCTGCTTTCACAATCTTTCTGTTTGAATCCGCCTGGTTTTCTTACTACAACAGGAAACTACTTGTAGATAATTTTTTTGGTCAAGGATTGAATTTTGTAGTGTTTATCCTTGTTTAATGACGATGTTTGAGTGTGATTATTACCAAATCCCAAATACACCGTTTGGTTGTGCGCCTGAATGGGCGAAACGTACATATTAGGTAACAGGTAACAGGTGCTTTTGGTATCGGTATCGGATTCGACCTGGAACTTGTTAATTATTGGTAATAACAATTATGTGGAAAACAAAAGGGTCTTGAATGGTGTAATTTTCAATCAACACCATTGTCCTATATTAGTTGTTTATAAAGTTGAATTCTTTAATTCGTCGTTTTATTGTCATGCCGGCTAACAAATTGGACCTCGTTATTTAAGAATTATAGATATTTAATAGACATGACATGTTCGGCCGTATTGAATTTAATCGAGGTTTGATTTTTTTAGTGTGTACATTACCAAAGTTAATTGGAAAAGGCCAGTCATAGTCTCTTACACATGTTAATGGTAAGTTGATTTGAATGCCAAAGGCAGGATTTTGTAAAATTATCTTAAAATAGTACGGTTGTTTATTGACATGACATGTTCAACCATATTGAACTTAATCGATGTCTGATATTTTAGTGTGTACATTACCAAAGTTGATTGGAGAAGGTCAGCCATCTGTTCCTAGATGGTTTTACAATGCCACATCACTGTTGTGTGAAAAGTTTAAGTATGGTGGAATACAGGGCAACGAGAATAATTTTAGAACCAAAAGACGATGTGAGCAACTTTGTAATGGCGTTAGTGAGTACAATGTGCCTAGTTTTTGAAATTGTTGGTCATAAATATGGATTGAAAAAATGAGAGTATAAGTTAACGAAACAGCAGAAGAAAATAAAAATAAACACCTGAATAGCAAAATCTGGTCGTACAAGCAACTATATAAAATAGTTATACACAATAAAGCAAGCACATTGACACTTGTCTTTTGAGGTATCAACCTTCTTAGTAATATTTTAAAGAAAATTAGCATTTTGAAAAGCTGTTGATGTGAGCTGCTTATGAATCTTAATAATTATTTTTCGAAATTCGATTTTTCTGGATTAGGTAAACAGATTCATACTGTATTCGTGTATATAAAGGATATGATGGATATAGTAGAACAATACTGCAAACCAACCACAAAATTAAGGAACGATACACAATACTACCGATTTAATTACATTTTGCAGATATTCGTAAATTTACATACTCAAAATACAGTTTATCAGATAGAGTGAGCCAACACATGGTATTTCATGAATAGGTATAATATTATCTTATGTTTCCAAGTATCAAACATTACTAGTAACATGGTAATTAAGGGATTCTGAGAAGGTTAATGTTGTTTTCGTTCGACAATATTCTTTCTTGACATTTTAGGATGTTCGCTCCTCTTGTTTTTGAGTTTTTGTTAGATATTCGGAATCCTCTAGTATTATCCATGCAGTACCATTACAAATTTTGCACGCTAACCCCTTCTTTTCTTTTCATAATTTTATTATATATAGTTTAAAAAGCTATATTTGAAAATCTTATAAAATCCATATTATTTTTTCATTGATTTTGAAAGAAAAAAGGTGCTAATGTTAAATATATGAAAAATCTAGAGAGAAACATTTCCCGCCAAATTTTGATGGCTTATACATGTTATATGTCGACAACAAGCACACGGACCCTTCATTTTTTCTGCTTTTTTAGTTCCTTAAAGGTATAAAGGTATATATTTTGAGAATACTTGTTCTTGTAAGTAAACAAAAATATGAAAGTTTATTCCTTTTTTTTATCGGTGCAGTTTGTACCTATTACAATTACATACAATTACATTAACATTTGTAATTCTGAATATTTCAAGAGAAACATCCGTGTAAACCACACCCAGGATGTCCTCGCCCATTACCAGGTGTTTGTCGGGGCTATATATATGAAATCATCAATGGAGAGAAGTGTTTTGCTGGATGCATAGATCCAAGTTGTAAAACTTTGTGTAGACTTTGTAAATTGTACATGAAAGTGAAATTTAATGTACAACGGTGCAGAAAATAGTATGAAGAACACAATTGCAGTATATGATAGAGGAATGCGAAATTGTTATTATTTAATTTGATACATGTACAGATCCTTTTGAAGCACACTAAAGTATTGCGATCTAAAACAAACAAATAGCAATCGTGGGAATGTATTTCTGAGATAACAATTAAATAAATATCAAAACATATAACGGTTGCTACTCTGTTGACATTGGAAGAATCATATAGTATAGTAAAAAAGCAAAACAACACTTAATTGACTACATGATGCAGCGCTCTACATTCATAGTAACATTTTAACATATTAATTCCAGTTTTGTAATTCCAACATTGTTGTAAACTGGATTTATTTGGGGTTGCTTTTCTTATTTGTTTATAAATTGAGGGTGTTTTAGGGTTCGTGTCCATCTAGCCCCCCAGTCCTTCCATGTAGGTCAAGATGCGACCTAGAAAGTGATTACCAATGTCCGGGTGATCAACTCTGTTGCCAGCAACGATGTTGTCGGGATCCAATTTTAGGTAAGTAAAAAATATTCATATATCTTTGGTCTTTTATAAATCAAAGTGTTACTAACTTAAATGATAAATCTAAAGCAACACATCTTTTCTTAATTTTGTTTTGAAATCAGTTTCGCTAATTATAAAAATGCTTATAATCTTTTATAGCTAACTATGTGGTATGGGTTTTACTCATTGTTGAAGGCCGTATAGTTGATTAAAGATGTTAACTTCTTTGTCATTTGGTCTCTTGTGGAGAGTTGTCTCATTGGTAATCATACCACATCTTCTTATTTTTATATTAGGTGTCTCCCCGTTTAATGAAAATTAAAATGATCGAAGGACTACTATGAGTTACCCCCTCTTTCGTGAATGTAGAAGACCGGTGTAGAAACGTAAATCAGTAGAAATTATTATTATTTTTACTTCCTTTTTTATTCTGTTCATTAATTTATTTTTATTGATTTAATTTCAGTTTCTTATCATTTTTTTGGTCTTGTTAACGCAAAGTACATACTAACGTATCTTTTGTGTTTTTACTGAAAATAAAAAAAAAAAATCTTCGGACTTCATCGCCCATCCGTCTCTCCCTAACCCTCCATCGTAGCTCTTTTTCTTACAAATTACTACCAAGAGTGAATGTGGAATAGAAATAAGGTCACCATTGGTCTTCTTCCGACCGGCAGTAAAATCCTTGCGTCCGTTTGGCTGTGCGGGATGTAAAAATTTGCAGCCACGTCCGGTCAGACTGGAAACGTTAATTTTGATGCCTCGTTTAAAGAGAGTGCCACGCTCTGAGCACGTTTAGAAACCCTGCAACAGCTCTTTGATGGGTCCGTGGGCTGCCTGTTACAAGGCTAACTTTATGTTTATTATCCAATATACCCTCATTTTCTAGTGGCAGTCTAAAACCTACCTATTGTATTTATTGTTAATTTGTTCTCGTCCTGAATATGCAGGGAACATTTGCCACCGGACGCTAAGTCACCAACAATCATTCAATCATTCGCATTCGATTTGCTGGTTTTTAAACATTAGTTTGTATCGTTAGCGTTGTTTTTAACAATGCATTTATTTTATTTTCAGAACCAAAGAGGGGTGATTGCCCAAAAGATCCAAAACCAAGGAATTGCTTTTTAAGAAAATCCGAATGTTATTCAGATAGTCAATGTAAAGGGAAACGGAAATGTTGCAGATTTTCATGTCAAAAATATTGTGTTGATCCTGAAGATGACCGTACCGTTATTATGCTTATTAATGTTGAAAATTAAAATAATAATCTTTAGAATTCGGAATATGTATTCATTTTATATTAAAACGATCATGTATTTCTCTTTGTCTAGTCCCTTTCGATTTGTGATAATTAAATTAACTCACTTACTAGACGCCTTTTCTGTTACATCTTCTATCAGTAGCTACAATTACTATACATTTGCAGAAAATGGGGATGGATATAGTATTTGTCAATACTGACAGCAATAAACAACAACATCAAAATACATATTAAATCGCATCTTATTTTTGCTATTTCAACTCCTGTTCTTAATATTGTCCCGTGTCATCCTTTTGGAAGTAACTAGATAAATCAAATTCGGCATGCGACATCTGCAAAAGCGATAAAGGGTTACATTAGCCATTAAGTGGACACTTGCGTACACTAATTTTCAGCCAAAGCGTTAAATATAAGTTCAAATTCACAACTGAACAGTAGACACTTATTTAAAAAGTAAAATAACAAAAATACCGAATTCCCGAACTCCAAGGAAAATTCAAATCGGAAAGACTCTTATCAATTGGCAAAATCAAAGTTTATAGCTAGCTAAACCTATCAATTTTTATGACAGTCGAATAAAATTCCATTATATTGAAAACAAGGTATGAACAAAACAAACAGACATAATAGGTGACAAAATATCAAAAAAGGGGTACATATAATCTTAATCACTATAAAAACAAACAAATATGTCAACAAAGAAAAGGAAAATGGCATATAGACAAAGCACATTTAGCAAAAATGAAAAACAAAAATACAAAAAATAACCACAGCACAGCAACACATTATCAGGATGCATAAGTACCGAGCCACGTCAAAAGAATATTGGCAAAAATAGACTGAACAGTTAAGGTTAATAATTTACAAAGACAATTACAAGAACACTATAACATGAAAAGAAGATGATAAACAACGTCAGTACCTAGAAACTTTACATCAAGACCATTATGTTTTATATTTGAAGTTGATACGGAATATTTATCAACAAGGTCTTGGTATCTTCCGATGAACTTTTTTAGAGAGAAGACGAGCAGTTCTTTAACATAACCCTGGTTCATCAACTTTCTGCTCAGACATTTGTGACATTTTATTAAGTATGGGTACCAGCTGTAAGCTCTTGAATACCGAATGATTTCGGAAATGTATATCCCATATGCAGTTGAAGTTGGCATATTGCTACTGCGGTTTGGAAAATAACCGCTTATGTCAAATTCGAGGTATAAGTTTGAACATGTGGCGGAGGAAGCCGTGTCCTTTAATTTCTAGTTCTGGAGGATATATTAATGGAACCTATCACAAAAGTTTGGATTTTTAAGGGAAAGTACATCATCAATATACCTGAATGTGAAACTATAGGATTTGGGTTCTTTGATCTACTAGTTTTTGTCAAGTAACTTAAAGAACTCCGACTCATATGAAAATAAGAAGATCGTAATGGATCGTTAAAAGACGTCAATTTTTTCAATAATTTTAATGAAATTCCGTCAATATAAATCGTGCTACACTCTGACCGCAAGTTTTCAACAACTGTGCTGTTACTATTGTCTATAAAAAAGACTGACACCACTTTAAGAGGAGGAGCCGAACTGATTTGATCAAAGAACAAATTTTGTTTTAGAGTTTGGTTTGAATTTAAAAGTCAGTTTTCGTGAGGATTTCACTTCATCCTATTTCCTCTTATCTTATTTTCATGTACTTTGTTGATGTTAAAGAGTTTACTGTAAGATTTTTTTTTACATCTGTTAACAATTTAAATTTTATGATTGATATATTACAGAGAAGTATATAAAAAATATACTTTTTTTTCTTATCCTCCCCCATTATCAACACTCATGAATTCTGTCAGTGTCATTGTTCTGCTGGTAGTAGTCAATGCACTTTATATGTCCACAAGTGGACCACTAGAAATATCAACTATCGTCTGCTGCCCGTTATTTGCATGCTTTCTAATCTCGGTCAATATACTAATGTCATCATGAGGCATTTATTTTTAAAGCAGACATAGCTACATGCGCATGTTTTGTAAAAGTTCAATTTTTTAGCAACTTCATTGGCTCTTATACGCCGTGCAAGGGTATTCAAAATGTGGCTTAGTAGCCAAAAAACCAAGTTTACAACTGCATAATCGAAACTATAAAACATGAAAGCTGTATATTTTGAGAAGTTGCTCACATAAAAAAAACAAACACTGCAGATGTTTCTGTACAGAAATTTACTGTTAAGAACATTAATCAAACAGGTTAGGACTGCTTCAAAGTATATTTTATCGAACACACACCGAAGACATACAAGACATAATAACTGAAAAACAAATAATTAAAATATTACATGCACGGCAATTCAAATATTTAAACAATTTATATTTCGTTAATAAATAAAATGTAAAATGTCTTTTCCACGATGTTATAAATCATTAAAAACCTCTTTTGATGTGAATTTGCACATATAATAATCTGTTTAAAACTTTGATAATAGACTACACTAAAAATATTTATACTTAACCTTTCTTAAGTGACTATTAAAGTTTAATTAATATGATAACAAAAGGTATAGATGAATACCCCCACGCGGTTACAAATGAGGAAAGCTTGGGCAATCATAGATCTATATTCGTTTTAAATATCAACCAAAGAACTGGACCTTCCTTTATTTTGTTGGATACATAAAATGCACAAGTGTCCTTACAAACAATGTAATATTGATTGGTCTGTATAGTGCTCCACAAAACTCTATAATTATTAACCTCAATTGTATTAGCAATGAAAGCCGGGCTTCAAGGTTAAACCACCTATTCTAGAGGTGGCGTGAATCAGATGTGGTTACAAAAAAAATCCAAAGATCTTTTAAACTACATATTATCTAAGACACTTTAATCTTGCTATAATATAAAACATTAGACCTTTCTATATTTTACATAAGTATTCCCCATTCCAAAACCAAAAACAAATTGAAAGAGTTGGTCCCTGTCTTGTTTCATAAAAGAGAATTGACAACGTTGGTACAAATATTTTGTCGTAGATATTTCCATGGAAACCAACTATCTTCATTTTTTAGCAATTTATTTCATTATCCATATGAAACTAACTTCATACAGGAAATTACTGGGGGAAAAAAAGATGTTAGCAGTGTCCTTCATTATACTTTTGTCAGTTTATTTTCGAATTATGAGTTTGAAAGTCTCCGTGGTATCTATCGCTTCTCGTTTACCCCAGAAAATGAAAAGAAATAATAATTTCAATCTACTGTTATGGTAACGGTGGATGTTTTCAAACTATCTATTAGATATGAGAAGATGTGGTATGAGTACCAATGAGACAACTCTCCATCCAAGTCACAATTTGTAAAAGTAAACCATTATAGGTCAAAGTATGGTCTTCAACACGCGTACGGAGCCTTGGCTTACACCGAACAGCAAGCTATAAAGCAAATCTTCACATCTACTTAGGATAAGTATCATTCCTGAAAAGTTTCATCTTGATCTTTTAATATACAAAGCTGATAGAACAAAAATGATAAATGACATAGGAATGTGAAGGTACCGATATACCTGTTCTCGATATTGTCTTGATTTTGACTATTTGCAAAACGTCTCTAAGGTTAAAGGGAAACTTCGCAAAAAAATGAAATATTGATATTATGTTCATTAAATTGAGAATATCAATTCTGTACATGAAGCCATCTTGAGATCTTATCGGGTTAAGAAACTACGTGATATCTATAAAACACAAATGATCAAAACAAAGCAGTAAATAATGTCGACCAAATTGAGTGTCGATGTCTTGTCAAGCGTACAGTTGTTTTATCTGACAAGGTAATGACAAAAGCATAGTCACAAAAAATGAATATATCAGATATGGTTGTGCAACCTTTCCTAACTAACTTGATACGGAAAATATATAATTATTTTTTTTAAATAACTATGGTCCGTCGTTTTTAAACTGTTTTTTTTTTTTTACAAAGTTTTTGAAACAAGAAATTTAAATGGGAATTAGTTAAAAAGTCAAAGTTCAAAGTCATGAATAAGTGTTCCGTGTAAAATTGTTTTCGAAAATCTAATTTGTTCATAACTCTTTTATGTAATATACTTATTTAAATAAATTCGGACCTTCCCTTATCTGATCACCAGCATGGTTAAATGAATTATCCCCAGAGGTATTGTCAGGTGACACGTCCAGGTATTCAAGCGATTTCCTGTTGGGCTTTAAAACTCTTAATACACAATTACATAATGCAAGTTCATGCATCGCTTCACTTCTGAGCGTATCAGTGTACATGGCCGGTAACTTGTAACTTTCCATTTAAAAACTATCAGGTGTAATATACATCTTTGTCTCGCGTGTCCGACAGTGATATACTAGTCATTACTAAACTCTTACGCTTGTTTATAAATAACATTTCTGGTGTAAAGAATAATATTTATGAAAATCTAAATAATTCCAAAAAAAGATTTGACGACATAAAAATCTATTTACATTTTCCAAGGGTAAATTAGGGAAAATGTAAGTATATACTCGTTGTCAATAATTATGTATAATTTCAAATATACAAATATTGATATAACAAAACTCTACGCACTTGTAGATCATTGGTTTATACGCCTAGATAGAAAGTTACGGAACTATAGATACTCGCAATTTAAAATATATACATGTATATTGAATATAAGAGAGAAACATCCAGAACCAATCTGATTTAAATACAGGTCGATATCTAAACTTGCTTTGGTTCGTCGAAGTTATGGACATAGTAAAATCACAGATTTATTTTTCAATTAGATTGTTTTCGAACAGTTTAAGAAATTCGTCATCATCGCAATTGTTGGTTATAACGTAGAATAACGTGAACATGGTTCTAATTGTACCTATTGTCAATTTTCTAATTCCGACATACATGTAATATATGCCACTGGACGTACACTAATGATCCCCAAAAAGCCTATTTGAAGAAATAAAGAAACTTCACTCCGGATAGACTGATAGTAGTTGTATTAACGTCTGATCAGCTATTTCAAGTTTATATGTCCCTGTTATTTTTATAAGTTAACGCAGAGACATGTATACATCTCTAGTTAACGATAATCAACTATATAAATATCTTAATCTCTTTCT